ACACAAATGTTTATTAAAAAAAAAAAAATTATAATAATATTCAAATATCATTTATATCAGTTTTTGCAAATAAAACACCCTGTATTTTACTGCTACATGTTACTCTGTTTTAGGTTCTCTTTTTTTTTTGTTAAATATCTTCTATATTTAAGGTTGATAGTTATTTGGATTTTTTACTTTTTTAAGGGAAACACCGACATATTGAAAGAAAGAGAACAGAGCAAAATGCAGTAGTAAAGTACAGGGTGTTCTAACTGAAAAAACTGAAATATCGATATTTGAAAATTATTGAATTGTTTTTGCGAAGCGTTGCATTACTAAAAAAACTCAAAAATTGGAATAATGTGGCAACGTCGCATCGGAATTTCTAAAATAATAAATGGTTATAAAGCCTATATAGGGTGTTCTACTAAAGAACATGTGGTGTGCTTTATCTCGAAAACAATATAATTGTATTCTGATTGACCTCTTCTTAGGCTTTATAACCGTAGTTTATTTTCGAAATTCCGATGCGACGTTGCCAAGTTATTCGAATTTTCTTGATTTTTTTTTTGCAATGGATGTTCTGTTAGTGTACAAATAAGACCGGGTTTTAATATACAGAGCGTTTATATAGAAAATTGGTCGAAAGTTGTTCCGACAGAACTTCGCACCTAAAGTACAGTGAAACATTTCCAGCATTTTGGAGTTGAGTTTTTACTTTACACAATTTTGTGGTGACGTCATCAACATTTTTGCAAGGACACGTATATCACGTATGGATTGGTGCAGTATAGTACTTGCCTAAGGAAATAAGGGCGGGTGGGCGGACCTAGTAATTGTTGAAATAATATTGATTTTGGTAAATGACTGAACAATATTAATAATAATCATTGAAATGAAACGAGGTGGGTGGGGGGGATGTTGCTTGCTTAGAAAAGATTCTGTAGGAAAAACTTAAACTTAGCCCCGCCCACCCACCCGTTCTCTCAGTTTTTTCTTCAGAAATAAGAAATAAATGGTATAACAACTAAGTAGTATAACAAAAAAATTACGATTAACGCTTTTTTTAACAGTTCTAGTAGTTGCAATTCCCACTTTAAGAACATTAATTCGCCCCGCCCACCCACCCCGCCTCCATTTCAGTGATTGTTTATCTAGTCGGAATTAAAGGTGGATCACAATTGAAGAGAGATAAAATCGTTAGAATGAGAACAACGTGTGAGGGCGGGGCTAGTAGCTGCTAAGATAAGATTGACTTTGGTAAATGATATACTTTCCATGAAAATAGAGGGCGTGTGGGCGGGGCTAGTACTTGCTACGATAAGACCAAAATCATTCTTACCTTGTAAAAGTCCTTTTTTTTATTATAAAACTTACGAGATTTCATTAGGGGATTTTGGGAAAATGGTGAGAGTTTTTGGAGAAATGAACCCGAAAGTAATTTTTAGAAGTCGAAGTCTGTAAAAAAATCTCTTCAGATAATTTTCAAGACTGGTTGCAAAATGATCAAAATTTTCGCAAGGATGGAATATTGGGAAATTAAGCTTTTGAAAAAAGTTGTCTACAAATCCACACAAAAATCGGCTAGTAATTGCTAAGATAAGACCAAAATCAATCTTATCTTACAAAGTACTAGCCCCGCCCACCCGCTCTCTACTGATTTTGGCAAATGGTATACCTTCTAAAAAACTAAAGGGGGGTGGGTGGGGCTGGTACTTACTAAGATAAAATTGATTTTCGAAAACTATATACCTTCCATGAAAATAGAGGGCGGGTGGGCGGGGCTAGTACTTGCTTAGACAGGATTGATTTTGGAAAATGCTATACCTTCCATGAAAATAGGGGGCGTGTGGGGGGAGCTGGCAGTTGCCAAAATCAGTCTTATCTTACAATGTACTAGCCCCGCCCACCCGCCCTCTTTTTTCTTAGAGGGTATGTGATTTGCCAAAATCAGTCTTATCTTAACAAGTACTAGTGTCTTCTCTTCTAGATATGTCAAAGGATCTTTGGGACGCTTTGTGTTTTATTTTTCAAAAAAGCTGAAAAAATTTCGGGCCCTCGAGGTATTACATTCTTTAAAGTGTTTCGAAAAAAATCTTAACGATTCCTAGTTTTTTTTTTTTTAATATGAGGAAGAATCTCTTGAGCCCTTTGTATTCATTTTTGAAAGAATTTTAAAAATCCTCGATTTTTGTTTTGCTTCAGAAAGAATTTTGACGAAATTTGACCATCCTAATTTTCAAAAGTGGTTGAAAAAAAGATCAAAATTTTCATAAGGATGGAAAATTAAGCTTTTGAAAAAACTTGTTCAAAATTGACAAAAAATTCTGCGCCCTGTGTGCTGCTTTTTTTCCTACTGTATAATATCTTTGTTTCAGCTCATACGGTTGTCACAGAAAAATAATCAAATTCGATTTTTTTAAGAAGAAGCTGTATTTGTTTGAATATATTTCAGTAACTTTAGACCAATTTTTTTGTGTTTAATACAAATTTCATCCATAAACTTGAAGAACAATATATAGAACTTTTTTTTTAAACTGTTTGGAGATATTAGAAAAAACTTCAATAGAACAGGCCAAGAATAAAAATTAAGAAAGCAACCATTGATAAGCATAACTTTTTAAATTTATTCCTCCTAAATTTTGAAATATGGCTTCACTGTGAAAAACGTCTTATCGTAAATACTAGACAATGATTTAGATTTTTTATATACATGCTGAGTAATTTTTTACTGTTGACGGATGTCAATTTTGACAATTTTTATTGGAATTTTAGGCTGTCAATTTGATTCACTTTAAAACTTATCAAAATTACAAGTTAATTCTTCAACTTTGAAGTTTAATATTTAAAAAAAAATTGGTTCAGGGATGTTTGGGACACCTTGTATATTCGTCTTCTTGGGTTCTACAACGATGGTTTATTTTCAAAATTTCGATGCGACGTTGCCAAGTTATTCCAATTTTTGGATTTTTTTAAAAATGGAGAAGTTCACAAAAAATCGCAGTATAATTATTTTTCAATAAATAAAAGTACACGCTTTATTGTAGTAGCAAGTTGAGTTTTAAAAGAACACCCTGTATTTTACTGGTACATCTTAATCTGTTTTTGGTTCTTTTTTTTGTTAAGTATCTTCTATATTTAAGGTTGATAGTTATTGGGATTTTTTCCTTTTTTAAGGGAAACAGACATACTGAAAGCAAGAGCATAGAGCAAAATGCAGTAATAAAGTACAGGGTGTTCTAACTGATAAAACTGAAACATCGCTATTTGAAAATTGAAAAGTTCTATCCTTTTTTATAAACACTCTGTTTTTGTGACGCTTTACATTGCTAAAAAAAAATAAAAAAATGAAATAACGTGGCAACGTGGCTAAGATAAGACTGATTGTGGCAAATTACATACCCTCTAACGAAATACAAGGCGAGTGGACGGACCTAGTATTTGTTAAAATAATAATGATTTTGGTAAATAACTGAACAATATTAAGAGTAATCACTGAAATAAAAAGCGGGTGGGTGGGCGGGGCTATTGCTTGCTTATGAAAGATTCTGTGGGAAAAAATGAAATTTAGCCCCGCCCACCCACCCGTTCTCTCAGTTTTTTCTTGAGAAATAAGAAATAAATGTTATAGCAACTAAGTAGTATAACAAAAAAATTACGACTAACGCTTTTTTTTAACACAGTACAAAAGAACATATATAGCACGAATTCTTGAATAATAACCGTACCGGGTGTTTCAGAATTTCGGGAAAATTAGAGAAAATTTTTGACTATAAAATTAATTGTTTCATACAATAATATTTTTGAAACATCAGATTAATTCTGCCTAGTGATTTTTCATTTCCAAAACAATCTTAAAGCGTGTTTAACGTTCTAATGCAATGAATTGGGTTTCTAGCTTTTAGATTAAATCGTAAAATTTTGTCGCACCATTTTGATATTTTTTCCCAAAACCCACTCAACTTACGCTCGGGGGGTAAACACTAACAAAAAATCTTATTTATTGGCAAAACTGGGTATAAACGTCAGAAATTTGCTTAATTCGATGTATTTATGTATATGGATGCAGATTATTCTAATGTTTGGAACGGCAGAAACATGCCGAGCTAATAAAGTCGACCAGATGACACTAGATGCAGAAGATTCACGAAAATCACTGAAGGTGAAAATGACTGAAACGATTTTTGTGTTTTTACGGTTGTGGACACTGGCGCACCACCACGCCGTCCCGATTTTGGCCTGGGTAAGTTGCATTCGCAGCGCACCCATGCACCGCCTGCAATCAGAACGCATTGATTAAATCAGTCCTTGTCCCAGCTCAAAACCCAACCGAAGCCAATAATTCTTATCATTTGTCGAAGCGTGCATTACCTTGTAATTTTCGTGTTAGCGCATCGACGTCCTCCGCATTGATCTACAGCAAGAGGGGGTGATCCGACGACGCCCCCCATTCAATCAAGCCCCAGGGAGGACGATTGACAATTTGTATCCATTATATTTATGTATTTTTACTAAGCCAACAGCAGCAGGAGTGGATATTGCAGACCAGTTTTTTTTATATTTGGGAATAACGGCTAGCTCCGGGGCTTGATCGAGAGCCTATCCATTCGATATTTGATAACCAAATGTGATATATTTGATTTTTGCTTTGCTGCTTTGCGACCAACGAGTTCTCTCGAAGTATCATGATGAATTGGAATTTTTAAAACGGAATAAAGAGAATGCCAGATTCGAAAATGTAATCAATATCTATACTCCCCCACACCGCACCGCACACATGCACGCTAATTTATAAGTTCCAAGATATCGGGAGAGCAATTTTTGCGATTCGCTTTTTGACACGGAAACTCATAAATACCGCTATTTCATTGCTGGATTCTTTAATTGCCCGGCTTTCGTTATTTATACGAGCTAATATGTTAATGTGCTTTTATATTCATGCAAATACTCCCATTGTAATTACGATTTTAATCAAAACGTCTTTATAAAATATGGACGCCGTGAAATACTTTACTTACCGAATGGTGATGGTGATAAGAAGTATCGTACTTCGGTCGGCTCGAACTGAAACATAGAAAATAATTATTAGAGCGTGTACTACAGGTAAATTATTGTCAGGGGTGTATAATGGAAAGTAGGGCAGCGAGAGCCGATTCTACGTTACATATTCAAAATTAATTACGTCTTATTGATCCTTTTAAATGTGGCGAAGAGGCATAACGAGACGCTGCACTTACACCCATCCCTGGACAATTTCAATTATTTGTTCTTTATTCAAACGTTTTTTTATAACAGAAAAAATTCAACAAACTGTAATTTTCTAGGACGAGATTCTACTGCTACCGCTACAGTCATTAAAGGTATGTTTACACAATTACTGCCTTTAACGTCAATCAAATTTTAGTGGAAACAAAAATGACGTTCTGAGAATAAAATAAATTCGAGAGCGGTCCTGTAACGCTCACAACAAAAGTCCCTTAGGTAAACACTTTTACAACCCCTTGCGGTTATGGGGTAATAAAGACCTGTGAAAGTTAATAATCATTTTGGGTCATAATCACACTATGAGTGTAGTTGTAACTTGTAACAAAGCTCTGCCACCAGAATGTTAAAAAATTGGTCAAGGTTATTTCGACAAAACTGTCCTAGCCCCTGAAGAGTAGCCCAATAAATCCCGCTTCTTTGAAAAATTATAAAAATTGATATACTGATTAATTGATAACCTCTATAAAAGTTCAAGTTTTTAAGTTTAAATTTTCCAACTTTGGAATTTTTCAATTTTTAGATTTTGCAATTTTTTGATTTGAGTTTTTCGAGTTATTAATTTTTAATTTTTCAATTTTCCGATTTGCAATTTTTCGTTTTGGTTTTTTTTATGTTTTCAATAATGAATTCGATTTTTCAATGTTTCTGGTTTTCGTTTCTCCAATTTTTCGATTTGCAATTTTTCATTTTTTTGTTTCTTTAGTTTTACGATATAGAGTTTCATTTTTAAATTTTTCAGATTTTCAATTTTTCAACCTTTGGACGCGCCAATTTTTAGATTTGCAATTTCTCAAGTTTCAAACTTTTCGGGTTTTTATTTTCCATATTTTTTCAATTTTTCAGTTTTTCTATGTTCTGTTCTATTTCTCAATGGGTTTTTTAGTTCCTTGAGTTTTCAACTTTTAATTTTTAAAATTTTCAATTTGCAATTTTTCGTTTGGGTTTTTTTATTTTCTTTAATTTTACAATTTTTCGATTATTCAATAATGCTCCGATTTTATAATTTAATTTGTTTTTGATATTTCAATTTTTTCAATTTTATTCTCCGCTTCTACAGTGTTTCAATTTATAATTTTTCATTCCTTTCTATTTCTTGAATTTTAGGACATGCAACTCTTGAAGTTTTCAGTTTAAATTTTTTCAGTTTTTCGATTTATCAACTTCTGGATGTTTAATTCGTAGATATGGCAATTTATCGATTTGGTTTTTCAGTGTTCTAATTTTATAATTCTTTATCCTGTCAATGTGAAATTTTTAAATTTTTGGATTTTCAATTTTTCAAGTTGCAATTTTTAAATTTTTCCTTTTTTCAATTTTAGATTTTTCAGTTTCACGATTTTTCAGTCTCATGATTTTTCAGTTTTCGTTTTTTCAATTTTTGATTTGTAATTTTTGCATTTGCAGTTTCACGAGTTTTCAATTTTTAATTTTTCAATTTCTCGATTTTGCAGTTTTTCATTTCTTCATTTTTTCGTTTCGGTCTTTTTTGCAGTTCTTCGAGTTTCCAAGTTTTAATTCTTCAATTTTTCTATTTGCAATTTTTTGTTTCGATTTTTTTATTTTCCTTAAATTTACAATTTTCCGATTATTCAATAATATTCCGACTTTTGTAATTTTTTGGTTTTGATATTCCAATTTTCTCAATTTTATTGTTCGTTTCTTCAATTACTCAATTTGCAATTTTGCTTTCTTGAATTTGGAGTTTTCGGTTTGAAATTTTTTAGTTTTTAGATTTTTCAACTTCGAATGTTTCACTTTTAGATTTTGTAATTTTTCGAATTGTGATTTCACGAGTTTTCAATCTTTCGGATTAATAGCTTGTTAATTTTTTCGATTTTTCGGTTTTTCAATGTTCCAATTTTATTAATGTTAAAGTTTTCAGTTTTTGGATTTTTCAAATTTTCAATTTGCAATTTATAGATTTTTAAATTTCTCGTTTCTTCAATTTTAGACTTTTCAGTTCATGATTTTCAGTTTTTCGTTTTTTCAATTTTTAATTTTTCAATTTCTCGATTTTGCAATTTTTCATTTCTTTGATTTTTCGATTTGCAATTTTTCGTTCTGGTTTTTATTTTCCTCAATTTTTCAATTTGTCGTTTCATTAACTTTTTATTTCCAATCTTCATAGTTTTCATTTTTTCACTTTTGAATTTTACGATTTTAAAATTTTTCCATTATTCAATTGTTGGATTTTAAAACTTTTTCATTATTAAATTTTTGAGTTCCTTGATATTTAATTTTTCAGTTTTTCGACTTTACAATTTTTGGGTTTTTCAATTTTTTGATTCGACTCGTTTTTTCGTGTTTCCAATTTTTCTATTCATTGAATTTTTTCGATTTTCAAGTTAATCGAGGTTTAGTTTTCCAATGTTTCAATTTTTCGTTATTTTAGTTCGATTTTTAATTTTTAAATTTTTCAACTTTTCAAATCAAAAATTAAAAAACAAAAAAGTATAAGATGAAAACTTTGAAAAATCTAAAAACTTTAAATCAATACCTTAAAAAATTCAAGAAACGAAAAATTCAACAATCGCAAGATAAAAATCTGAAAAACTTAAAAATCGAAAAAGTGCTAAATCGAAATCTGTATTGTGAAATAGAAATATTGAAAATTAAAGAAATCGGAAAATCGGATACCTGTAAATCCAAAAATTGCAAAATTGAAAAATTTTTAAATTGGAAAATTGAAAATTTCAAAAATTGAATGGACGAAAAATTCAAAAATCGAAAGATTAAAAATTGAGAAACTTAACCAAAAAAGTGCACAGTCGAAATATTGGAAATGAAAGAAACTGGAAAATCGGATTTTTGAAAATCCAAAAATTTCAAAATCGAAAAATTTTAAAATTGGAAAATCGAGAATGTGAAAAACCGAAGATTGAAAATTTGAAAAATTATAAAATAGAAAGAAATATTGAAAAAATATTGGAAATGAAAAACCGAATAAATGTGATATAAAATGGACAAAATCAAAATGAAAAAATCTGAAAAATGAAAAATAAAAATCGAGAGCTTGACAAATTGAAGCAACTAAAAATTGAAAATTGGAAAAACTAAAATTTGGGAAACTCAAAAATCGAAAAACGGAAAGTTGTAATACCAAAAAATTGCAAAATTGAAAAATTTGGAAGTCGTGAACTTTAAAAAATTGAAAAAAAAGTTATAAAAACGAAAAATTATGAAACGGAAACATCGAAAAGTTGAAAAATTAAAAACTAAAAAATTAAAAAAATGAAAGAACCAAAAATTGTGATATAAAAAAAAATCGGTCTAACGTAATGTCTTTCAGTGGCGCGTAAAAACAATAAAGGAAGGCGACAAAAAAATAGAAAAACCGAAAAAACGACAAAATATGTAACAAAAAGAGACAAAAACCCAAATAAAGCAACAAAAATACTAAAAAAATCAAAGGGGAGGGAGGCGTAAAAAAGAATAAAGAAAGACGAAAGAACATAGTGGAAGGCGAAAAAAACGACTAAAAACCATTAAAAGTAACAAAAGAGGCGACCAAAAAGATCCACAAAAAAAGAGACAAAATAACCCAACAAGTGACCAAGAAGACGACAAAACAGCAACAAAAAACGAAAAAAAAATGAGATAAAAAAGAAACGCGTGAAAAAGGGACCAAAAAAACCCACAGGGAAATCAACAAAATAAAGCAATAACAAAATGCGACAAGACATAAAAAGGAATAGAGAAAGACTACGAAAAAACGATAGAAAAAGGAGAAAAAAGCTATTAAAAATCGACAAACAAGTTTACAAAAAAAAAAGATGACAAAAAAGGACACAAACCCAACAAAGTAAAGGTGAAGAAACAGGCGACAAAAATAACATAAAAGGAACAAAAAAATGAGACAAAAAAAAGGTCTAAAGAGAAAGAGAAAAAATTAAAAAAAAAACAAGCGAAAATGGACTTATGGAAAAAAACAAAAAAGGTGGCGGGCATAAAAAGGAAACAAAAAAGCTGCAAAAAGTACGAAAAAGGGACAAAAACAACAAAAAATATATGACAAAAATGCAAAATTTTGAGTGATTATTTTTTTGGAAGGGGATAAACGAATAAATTTTAGTGAAGGATTTACCACGATTACGACAACCTTAAAACGTTTGTAAAATTTCAGAGCATTCGATTTTACAGTTTCAAACTTACATTGCAAAATCTTAGACATCTATTTTTTTTTTCCAAAAACCTGGATGTCTATGGTGAAAACTCGACACGGATTCATACCTCATAAGTACAGAAGTATCTTATTTTATAAAATTAAAAGTACACGATACTCCTAATATATACAAAATTTAACAAAAATCGGTCCAGTAGTTTCGGAGAATGTATGTCTAATAAAAACTGATACAGACGTCCAGAAAACATTAAGTATAGTAATCGTCCGATCGACTCGATTACTATACTTAATACTTGTAATAATTAAAAAAAAATTCGGCTCGCAGGACCAAACTACATTTAAATTCCAACCCATGGAATACAGTAAATAGAGAAAATTGTGTGGGTGTCTCGTGTCGTCGTGTTTTTTGGCGATCCAGGGGCCAAGAATAAAATGTTTCTGCTGCGACCCTAAAATCATTATTCGATAACGCAATTTTGAGTAAAGCTGGAAGTAAAAGTTGTAGATTAATATAATTTTCTATTGACGTTCAGGAATATCGTTCGGCAAGTTGAAATGAAATTTGCGAACATGAAATATAATTTGTAGGAGAGCCAGGCCGGCTTCCGTAATTATATTTATTAAATTATTTATTAAAGCAACGAAGTAAGAGGACCCTCCCTTAGAAAATTGCATT